TATAACTTGACCGCTTGTTAGTTAATGTACACCTAAAATTCTGCGTTTTTTAGTTCATTGTAGTTATCTTGGTTTTCGGCATTGTCTTTTTGCGATCACATCGATCTTTATCTAAAATATGATTCACTGTGTTGTAACGTTTACAGGAATTTTTTTTTTTCGATTTAATTAATAACATCGGGAGTTGCAGGTTGCCTTCCTCACTATCCCGTTTTTGAAAATACTTCAGGCTACCAGAATGCTCCATCACAGGCTTTCTATGGACAACCTGGAGCTCGGCAACCCTATCCACAGCAGTATGCACAGCGACCGCCTTATCAGCAGCCAATGCAGGTGAGATGCCCTACGCTGCTACTTTATTAATTTTTTTTCTATCGTCATTTTTATTTTTGTTTGTGTGTTTTCTAACCGGACACTGTTCGCTGTTTGTTTAAAGCAGTTGACTGGAAGTTATTCTTGCGAGGCTTGAACGCGTATTTTTTGTTCTGCTGTTTTACTTACTAGAAAATGTTTAGGCTTACGGTCAACCACTGCGACCGAGCTTTCCACCAACTTCTGTTGCCGCACCACCGCCTGGCCAGGGCTACGGTTATCCGCAAGGTTATCCGCCTCAAGGACCACAGGTGACACAAGTACTTGATTGCACTACTGTGTCGCGTTATTAACATGCAGTTGTGATAGTGAATGGTTTAAAATTGAACATTTATAAGTGAAACACTGAATTATTTTGGAAGCCGCACCTTTTCATTTCTGCATAGATCAGTTGGCGTTTTAGGAATTATCAGCCCGTCAAGTTTTTCAAGAAATATCACTCGTTTTCATAAAATCCTGTCTCTGTTATTGGAGACTGCGTAACTAATAGTCATATTGAATTATTTTGCGCTGTAATTTTGATTACTTCAGTATGCGCCACCGCCTGGCAGCTATGCTCATCCACAGGCGCAGCAGCAGGCACCCCCGCCAACTTCAATGCCACAGCAGATGGAGTCCTCGGATGCCGCTACACCTCCAATGCACCAAGGAGCTCCATCAAACCAGCAGTAAAAATTGGAGCCTAAATTAACTTTGTGTTTTAATGTTGTCGCGTGTTGTTGTGGACTCGTTGATCACTTCCTGTGCGGTGTCCATAGCGAATTCATTTGCGGAGTATATCAGGCATTAATTTACTTTATTTCGTGCTTTGGTAAACTTGCATCTGCGAGACTACATCCGAAGTCTGCCCGCTAGCTTTGTGTATATCATATAAATTTGTTTGTATATAATGATTTCGAAAAATGGATAACCATTTTTAGGTATCTATTATGTCCTGTGCTTAGTAGTATTGTTAAAGTTCTGTGTTGGTGAGATGATTTTGGTACTCAGTTAAACCATGTGTGTTTTAAAATTCTCCATGTGTCTGCGAATTGAGTAATACTGTTTAAAAAAAAGAGAACTGTGGGACTTTTTTTTTTGATTGGAATAACATAGATCTAAGCGAAAATTTGATTCATCACATACGTCCTTTGAGTTAGTTTTTGAATGAATTCAGCTGGTGTCTCTTTTAGTTCGCCAACTCCAATCAGTAGTCTGGCAGGTTGACTGGTTATGAGCATGTCATTGCGTGAGAGACCGGAAATTCAGTAATTGCATCCTGGGACTTTTTCGTAACCTCATTAAATGCGTTCTGCTACCTTGCTGGCCTAAAATCCGGTTTTTTTTTTTTTGTGTTTGATTGTTTTT